TTTTGATCATGATTTTGATGCTTTTGTTAGGAATATTGTTGTAAGTATCTTACTGGAATTAAAAGAGTTGTGTATGTTGTCATCCTGTGGTGAGCTGCCATTGTTAAGGAGGCATGCAGGAGTGACCTGTATCTGGGAGGTTAGGGTGAGAGACTGCTGTCCTTCTGCAAGTATGAAGCAGAGGAAAAATATAGCATAACTTTAATCTGAAAATGTCTCTTATGTTGAATTAGCTGTAAGTTCTTGCTGGAATGAAGATTCTGGCTTCTTGGACAAGTGCATTCTTATAAAGCTCTGCCTTCCCAGGACACATGTGTATGCGTGCATACACTTGTAAAAACGTTTACAGGGTGCATGTAACCTAGTCTGGCCCTAAGCTCCCTGTGTAGCGCAGGATGGGCTTGCATTTCTCATCCTCCTGCCTGACCCTCCCCAAGTGCTGAGATTATCGTCGTATGCACCATGGCCAGTTTGCTGTGAGACAATATTAACAGCTTGAGTGGGTTTGCAGAAACTATGTGGGGAAGCTTGAGTCAGGTCTGATCTGGAAGATTTGCTAATTTTGGGTTTGGTTAATGAAATAATTTGTTATTGTGAATTGTTAATTTCTGATCATCATTTGGAGAAATATTTTGTCTTATTGATCAAGTTCATTGGGTAAAACTAATGCATATTTTTCACATAGATATTTGAATTAATCTGTAATTCTTTGCTCTTGTTTAGATTTAATTTTGCATTTAAATTTCTGGCCATGTAAATTCCTGGCCATGGTGTGCTATTTATATAGGGCGATAATAATATTCAAAACTGTTGCTACTGCTTTCAAGGATTTCAATAAAAATTCACTAGGCAGAACCCCAAAAAACATTCATTGAGCTCTTATTGTGATGGATAAACTGTGCCATCTGTTAGCACAGAGGAAGGGAACAGACTTACCACATTTTCTGTCCTCAAGCCTGCGTATGTGTGTGGGGTACATGTACATGTAGGTGGATGCATGTGTACATGCAGGTGTACATGCATATGTGAATGCATGCATGAGAGGCCAGAGATAGATGTCAGCTGTTTCCATGGCCATACCGCAACCTTATGTTCACAAGGTTTCTCTGTGAATCTGGAGTTTACCAATGGGTAGAATAGTTGGCCAGTGAGCTACAGGCTCCTCCTTTCTCTGCTTTCCTAGTGCCAGGGTTACAGATGGGTACTACTGTGCCCAGTTTTTTATGTGGGTGCCTACCATCCAAACTCAGATTCCATGCTTGCATGCAGGCATGTTCCTGACTGGACCATCTTCCCAGGCATCAGACTATCCCTTTGTGAATGAATTCATAAAGAATGGCCATAATTTATAAAAGAATTAAAAAGAAAGCCAATAGGATCTCATTTCGTTTTGTTCTCTGTTGTATTTCTATAGGCTGAGAAAATATAGGCTATATTTTCATAGGCATTTGGTAGAAACTTTAGGCATATTTGTTGAATAAATGACCGAATAGCCAAATGGCGATGCACTGCATACGCAGAGACCCTGGAATCTAGGAGTTTGCTGTCCAGCCAGCATGGCAAGGGACATTTCATGGAGTAAGTAAAATTTTAATTAGAAGGAAGAGGGTAGGGTCGTCTGGTAGTAGAGAATGATCTGGAAGCTTCTGTGGGTGTTGGAATTCGATCACAGAACTGAGGCAATAGCAGCTGTTTAGGCAGATTTTGGGAAATCTTGAAGTGCCAGCTTGTTTCCCTGGTAAATGGAGACTGAAAGGGATATTTTTATATTTTATCTTATTTTTCATTAACAAATTAACTTCTTTTCTTTTTTCTTTTTTTGTTTTTGTTTTTTGAGACAGGGTCTCACTGTGTAGCCCTGACTGAACTGGAGCTCGATCTGTAGATCAGGCTGTAGATCAAATTCACCGAGGTCCTCCTGCCTCTGCCTCCTAAGCACTGGGGTAAGAGGTGTGCGCCACCACCCCCAGCCTGAAAGGGACGTTTTAGAAAAGTTCATCTAGAGGCATTTTGTCGGGTGACTTGTAGGCAGACGAGATTATGAAGCACATATTGACAGCGTTCTGCAATGAAGTGTGCTCATGAAGGGCAGGAAAGTCAGAGATAATCATGTTTTAAGTTTGATTGACTTGGATAATAGTAAAAGCAAGAACAAAAATAGGACAGCCAGAAGGGAAATTAGCATTCTATGGAAAGGCTTTCATATTTCAAACTTCTCTCTTCGGGAAAGGTGTTGAGGCAGGGTCTCCTCTGTAAATCATGCTAGCCTTGAACTTTTGTCCTGAGTATGGGAATACAAGTCTGTACCACAAACTCAGGGTATTTCAAATAACTTGAACATTTAAAGCCACAGAGACACTTCACTGACAGAAATAACAAGCTTCATAATATTAGACCTGAGAGGGATTTTGGAGAATGAGTTATTGATTAATTAAATCCAATCTTGTTATCTTTCCAGTGAGAAAGCTGACTAGGGTTCTGGAATGGTCCACAAAAGTAGTCACTGGCCTGGGTGAGAGATTTCAAAAGTCCTTTCCAGGGCTATGATAGGCACTTAAATAGCATCTCTTCATTTGCATCTCATTTTCCGTTTTAAATTTGAAGAGCTGCTATACAAATAGTTGCATGTAATGCGTGTAGAAATATCATCTGCACAGGGTAAATGCTGTGCTTTAAGATTGAGAGCAAATAATTTAAATATTAGGCAACATTTCCTTGCCTAGTACTTACTAGTAAAATCTGAACTTTTACCAAAAGTTGTATTAGTTAACGATTGCTTTCTTCTTTACACAATATCATGATGTATCTGGTTAGAGATTCTCTGTAATTATCACCAAATCAAAGCTCAGTTAATTCTGAACATGTTTTGCACTGTGCATGTGCTTAAACTTCTGCTCTTTGTTACCATATTGCCAGGTTTGAGGGGGAAGCAGTTGCTAAGGCATTTCTCTAGGTTGATCCTAACCCATCCTTGCTTTCCTTTGCGATGTCTGTCCCTCGGCATTGGGGATGGATATTTAGCAGTCCCGCATGCGTGTTGTAGAAAAATGACAGGACTCGGAAGTCCATCTGGGGCCAGGCTTTACCTTTGGTACCTTTTCTTTTGTTCTCCAAGCCCTGTTATATATGAGGGTGGAAAATAACATCCGTCTTCCTGCTTACACTCATGGTATCCTCCTGTCCCAGGCCCCAGCATGCAGGTGTAGCACTGACTTTGTCATCATAAGCCCTTGGGTGATTGTCCCACACTGAGCTTGTCTTACTGTGGGTGGTGTGATGACTTTTCCAACACCATCCCTCCGCTTTCCAACCTACATCAATGGAGGGAGGGAGTGCACTTCGCGAGAGTTCCTTTGCTTTTCCCCAATAAAGAGAGGATTTGCATGGGTGGCAGGGTGATGTATAGCAACAGGACATGGAAGAAGTAACTCTTTTACACAACAGTAAAGTGAATATTTACTTACACCTGGATCATCACTAGTGGGTTGGCGGAATGATCAGAAGACAGTGACATCTAGGAAGTTACCATAAGGGTCTTAACTCTTCTTGGGAGAATTTCCTGCCTCTTGAGTTACAGTGAGAGCAATGAGATTCTAAACACAGAATGCTGGTCTTGCAGTCCTTTTTTAAACCACGGCTACTGGCATTGGTTACTGCATTTGCCTTGGTGTGAGTGCTGGGAGCTTATCGACAGCCAATCTCCATGCCAAGCATTTTAGAATGAGTGGTCCCAAGTCGTGAGATAAGAGGGGACTCTTGGTTCCCTGCTAATTAGAATTGGCGAGGGAGCAGCAGATCCGGATCTCCTTGGTGAATTCATGTGCCTGAGACCTCAGGTGTGGGCCAGAAGTAGCTGAACGGCAGCCATTAATTAGCCTTGGGCGAGAGAGGAGCATGAAAGCCTTGTAGAAATGGGAAGGCCACAGGCAAGGGCATGCCTAATGGACTGTCTTCAGCAATAGGCAGGCTCATACTTGGACAAATGTCATAGGAAAAGGCAACCCACTCTTGTTGGATTTATAGATCCCATTTGCCAGAGTGAAGGACACTTGCTCTTTTAACTAGCTGAATTAGCTGGGCCCCAGTGGCCTTGTTGCTATGGCAATATGAGCTCAGTGACCTCTCTTCTCTCGTGGAATGTAGGTGAGAAGGACCGAGGGGAGCCTGAGGATGCTGAACTGGTCAGGCTCAGTAAGAGGCTGGTGGAGAACGCCGTGCTCAAGGCTGTCCAGCAGTATTTGGAAGAAACGCAGAACAAAAAGCAGCTGGGGGAGGGGAACTCCACCAAAGTTGAAGAGGCCAATCAGAATGGCAAAGGCAGTGATAATAACAGGAAGTGAGAGTGGAATCTGTTCCCGCTGCTCTGTGAAAAGCATCCCTGCCCCTCTGCTAGGTCGCAGACTGACTTACGATGTGCTATCTAAGTGTCTTGTTCAAGCCCCGGAGATTGCCTAACTCGTTTATGATTGATGCGTTGGCGTTGCTGCGACACGACAGAAGAGAATGGGGCGCTGGGGCCGGCAGGAGAAATTAATTCACAGAAGAGCAATCCCAAGTTCATGTATCATCAAGCGTGCACAAGGGAGAGTGGGCACTTTGGGAAGGCGTGCCAGGCTGAGGGAGAGGACTGGCCACCGCTGGAATACTGCCGTTTGTTTACATCGCTTTGAACATTTGACTACTTCATCTGAGGCCAAAACTTGCACACAGCTGTCCAGTACTGAGTTCAGTTTGTCGCTGTTGAGACGATCATGAGTGTACTGAGTTCACAATGTTTTACGTTTGTCCCCAGGGTGTTGTTACCATGCCATGATCTTTATTTACAGTAAATTAAGTTTCACATAAATTATATATTTTTGGCAAAATGCAACCTTTTCTATGAAACGTGGGTAACATTTTAAAGGTTTTTTCAGGCTTATTTTGATAACTCAGTGTGCCATATTTAATGAATTTCATTGATATTTGTACTTTAAATGTGTTATATAATCTTTTCCCCGTAGGCAAGAAGCCAGTTGGGATCCAAGACTTAATCAATGAAGCTTTGCAGCGAGAAAGGATGGAGCTGAAGTCCAAAGTGAAACAGATCAAGGAACTTTTGCTAAAGCCTGAGACTCAGGCCATGATTAGGAAGGAGCTTTTTGAAGGAAGAGTTCTTAATGACGGTAATCACACAAGCGATGCTGATTCCAGCATGACTTTGCTGTAGGTCTCTGCTGTGGTTCCGGCTGTGGAAAGTTTTTGACTCTCAGCCCAGTCCATAGATAGCCCTTTGGTAAATAACTAAAGTGTTCTTACAGTGTCTACACAGCCCACGAACCAACATTTGGTAAGGAATTAACAACTTCTTGCCAAAGAAAACATATTTTTGCCTTATCATCATCATCAGCTAAAGTTGAGTTTTTGAATGTTTGTTTGGGTGTTGTTGACTCATTTTATAGAAATAACTTTTTAATTAGCTGTTGTGAGATGTTCCATGGGTCCTTGCAGATAAAAAACAAAAAACGTTGACCATGAAAGATCCTTTATAGTCAAAACCAAAATGAAACCAACAACAGTATTCTAAGGGTCGCCTGCCTCCTGTTGATATGGCCCTTTTCTTACTAGCCTTGTCCTGGCTTGTCCAGTCTCACATCACGTCGATGACAATTTGAATGCTTATTGAGTATCAGTACTTGAATGAACATTTGTAAATGTAATCATTGCAGTCGCTGGTTAAGAATGTTTTTTTAAATAATATCCACATGTATTATTTTTCACTGATGAAAATGTAGTTTGCATTTTCATTTCTTAGTTAGCAAATGTTCAGTGTTTTTATTTTCTCCTTCTGTGAAGATGAGCCCCAAGTCTTACGGTGGTCTTCACAGTTTGGATAGTTTGCACTGGTTCATTTTCAAAAGAACATTCTTAAAATGTTTCTCCCCATGTGATGTTTATTTGTAACAGCTTTTTCAGTCATCATTTAAAAATTGCTGCTACTAATAGAGGATGGGGGAAGGAAATGATTAGAGATCAAATGTATAATCATCTCACTTATACAATACAGTTTGCTCATGAATTTTTGGCTATTTTTTCCACTGGGTAAATAATACTACATTGATTCATAATGTAATACTTTATGAGTTCCTGCATTTTCATGCCTCTTAATAAATGTACTGCTTCCCCTGTTGCTTTTCCTTTTCTTTCTTCTGGAAATCACTGGGTCCTTGTTGGTGTCCCAAAGTCATGATCAGGGTCATTGCAGTTTGACTGCTTCCTGTCTTTGTACTAAGGAAACAAGCACACTGTTACATCATAACCGACTGTTTCATGGTTTCAAATCAGTCAACTTCATACACAAGTAACCGCAGAACAGAAAATTCAAAGACAGGCTAAGTGACATCTTCAAAATAAGTAATCCCCTGCCACTAGAGTTTTTATCACAATGATGAAGAGAGCAAATTCATCTGAATATACAGATCTGCTAGCTACTGGCTATGAACCCCTTCCCAGAAGCCAGCCATGAACCCTGTGAGAGGGGCAATCCATGAACCCCCCATAGTAGCTGCCAATAAACCCCCTTGAGCAGTTGGCCATGAACCCCCACCCCAACAGCTGGTCATGAACACCCCAGTGGCTGGTTGTGAAGCCTTCCAACAATTGGGTATGAACCCCTCTGAGGGACTGACCATGAATCCCCTCCGTTGCCCACTGGGAACCGTCACTTAGTAGTGAAGGTCATTACAGATCTCCTTGAGTAACCCTAAAGGAAGGAAGCAAAGATGCTTAGGCCTTTCCTTGTTTTCCTAATGAGGACACAGAGTCCAAACAGAGTTCCGAGGTTGGGCTCTCTAGCCAAAGCCACAAGGATGTTAGGAATTTGGACCTGAGCCACAACCCGGTGGCCCCAGTGTCTCATTGCTGCTTTGGTGAAATCCCATAATACACATGAACAATATCAGACTGGCATTTCTTAGAATAATCTATATCTTTTCCTCAAGGAGTTATTCCCAGTCTGAGTAGAAAAGTATTGTTTTCAGCCCCGATTCCATGTCTTTCTGTTAGCTTTAGTTGCCCGTCTATTTCCATTGTTAAATACCCATGAAGACCTGGGCTATGTGCCAGGTGATTTGGGCACATGGTTAAATTCCTTCCCTTAAGTGATCCTAATAGGAAGTAATTAGTACTTTCTAGATTAGGAAAACTGGAGACCTATATGCTAAAATGGCCCAAGGACATAAAACGAACAAAAGGTAGGGCTAAATTTAAACTCAAATCTGTTCTGCTTCAAAGGTGACACTTTCTACAGTGGAGTATTTCATCTTTTTACCAAATATTTCAAAAGTTAAAGATGAGTAATAAAGGCCCTGAAATGCGCGCTCGCGCACACACACACACACACTGGAATCCCCATGTGAACTTGTTCACAAAAACACTGGACCAGGCATCAACTGTTGCTGCTCGACGTGGATTCAACACTGATGCACACAATGTGTTCTTGAGCAAGCCCGTTCACTTTCTAAGCCTCCCTTCCCAGGCCAGGTGGTTTCAAGGAGCCTAGGGCTGTTTGCTTTGGGACTTGCCTTGATGCTGCCAGTCCACTAACTGCTCAACTGGGTCACATCCTTCTACCTTGTGACATTAATGCTTGACTTCCTGGAGAATGTCCCCTTCTATTTTGCGTTTTGGTTGTCAGTTTCATGAAGGGAACCCCTCAGGGGAATATTCTCAATTAGAACCACATTCCAATGTTTTAAGAGTTAGTCACTAGAAAAATAGGTCTCCTGAGAGTAAAAAGACATCAAAAGTAAAACTTTAAACGGAAGGACAATATTTTGTCAGCTTTGAACTTGGCCTTACTTGTACAATCTTAGGTTTTTTCAATCCTCTTCTCAGCGTCCTTTGTCCTGTGGGCACTCAGGTTATGTGGGATTTCTGATTGTAGATTTTTTTCAGATTTTGGAGTATTTGTAACATTTTAGGTATGGGTCCATGTCTGAACATGCACTTCATATGTTTCATATAACATATTATATGTTATACTTTATCCTCAAGGACATTTTGTGCAGTTTTTACTATTGCCTGCATTTTCAATGCAGCTCATCCCGTGAGGCCAGGTGAAGAATTTTCCGATGTCATGTCAGCATTCAAAACATTTTGAATTTTGGAGCCTTTAGATTTCCTCTACATGTCCTAGGTTTGCATCTAGAATATAGTTAGAATTCAAATGATTCTTTACAATACCACAAATGTGTCAGTTCCTGGAAATCTCATGTTCTAATAAGGAAGTAGTGACCACAGTTAGACTTTGTGTCATTTCAGGCATTCAACCAGTCAGACATGTTTTGTCTTCTGTGTACCTAGTCACACATGGAAAAACTAGCCATCACCTTATAGAGCACATTAACAGTTTCATGCCATCGTCCAAACCATCACAGATATAACTTCTTTAAGTGTAACTTAGTGTGTAGATAACCTAATGTAAGTTATTGTTCTGATCATTTTTTTTCAAGTTTTTGAGATTATTTTTGGTTTTGAACCTAGCCTTTTTATTAGCCGAGTCATCTTTCCAACCCAGGTTTTTGAGATCATAATTGCATCATTTCATTCCCTTTCTTCCTTCTAAATCCTTCCCATGTTACCCTGCTTCCTTTATTATCTTTCAAATTCATGGCCTCTTTTTCTTTAATTGTAATTATGCATATATGTGATAAATCTCTTTCACACACATACATTCATATCTATACATATATATGTATATTTCTAAGTACATAATGTAACCTGTTCAGTCTGTATAATGTTACTTGTATGTATAAATTTTCAGGGCTGACCACTTGCTGTTGATAGCTAATTGAAATGTTCTTCCCTAGGGAAGACTGTTTCTCCTGTTCTCAGCATTTCTTAATTGCCTGTATCTCTTTTTTTATTAAGCTATACATTTATCTCCCCTCCCCTCCCTTCCTCCCTCTCCCCTGCTTACTCTTTCCCATGACCTCCATGCTCCCAATTTATGCAGGAAATCTTGTCTTTTTCTCCTTCCTATAGATGTATGTCTTTCTTAAGGTCCTCTTCGTTGTCTAGGTTGTCTGGGGTTGTAAATTACAAGCTGTTTTTATTTTATTTTTATTTATTTATTTATTTTTTTGCTTTGTGTCTAAAAGTCACTTATGAGTGAGTAATACGATTATTTGTCTTTCTGGGTCTGGGTTACCTCACTCAATATGTTTTTTTTTTCTAGATCCATCCATTTGCCTGCAAATTTCAAGATGTTATTATTTTTTTTTACTGCTGTGTAGTACTCTATTGTGTAAATGTAACACATTTTCTTTATCCATTTTTCAGTTGAGTGGCATCTAGATTGTTTCCAGGCTCTTGCTATTACAAATAATGCTATGAACATAGTTGAGCAAATGTCCTTGTGGTATGATTGAGCATCCTTTGGGTGTATATACCTAAAAGTGGTATTGCAGGGTCTTGAGGAAGGTTGTTTCCTAATTTTCTGAGAAATTGTCATACTGATATCCAAAGGGGCTGTACCAGTTTGCACTCCCACCAGCAATGCAGGAGTGTTCCCTTTACCCCACATCCTCTCCAGTGTAAGTTTTCATCAGTGTTTTTGATCGCTGCCATTCTGACATGTGTAAGAAGGAATCTCAGAGTTGTTTTGATTAGCATTTCTCTGATGGCTAACGATGTTGAGAATTTCCTTAAGTGTCTTTCAGCCATTTTAGATTCTTCTGTTGAGAGTTCTCTGTTTAGGTCTGTACCCCATTTTTATTAGATTATTTGTTCTTTTGATGCCAAGTTTCTTGAGTTCTTTGTCCGAGGTTGAGGCTGCCTGAGCTTTCCCCCTTCTGTATTAGCATGTCTGCTGGTGTCATCCTTGTTTAGGTCATGTTTAGGTGGTCATGTTGATGAGATTTCATGGGTACAGCTTCTGACATTCATAGGAGACACAATCTCATAGCAAACACTGTCTTCCTCTGGCTTTCAATCTTTCTGATCCTTCTTCTATGACCCCCAAGTCTTAGATGTGGGAATTTTGATGTAGATGCATCAGGTACAACTGGGCTCACACCCCTGCCTTTTAACTGGTTGTGGTTTACTTCGATGGTCTCTGTCTGTTTCTGTGATGAGGAGCGAGGAGTGCAGTGTGTGTAGGTATAAGGACAAATATTTAGAATCTCTTCCCAGCATTTTTAAACATCATCTGTAATTTTATCTTTAAAAATGCTACAGATGCATTCACGAATTCTAGATTTTCCAGATAGATTTAAAAAAATCTAAAAAACAAAAAGCAAACTCAGAATACATCCCAAACATTTCCCAGTCCCTACATTCATTTGATAGTTGTGCACACACTAACAATATAAAACCTTAAATAATTTCATTCACAGTTAAAATGAGGATTAGCGCCATTATTTTGGAGTCAGTGAATTTAAAATTATGATGGTAACCCACAGCTACTCTTCCCTGGATCACCGTATCGGGGATGGTGAGGCTCATTTAGAAGGTAGTTTGAGAACTTCTGAAGGCAGGCACTCCTATTTCCCACAGTGTAATATACTCTAAACCACTAATTGGTGTTTATTTAAATGCAGCGGATCAGTTCAGGTGATGGTTTTAAGATGGAAACTGTACCGTTTAAACCTCTGCAAATCTCATTACTAGGCATGTGTTGGAAGACCATGAAATTTTCTTGTAGCGGGAAAGCTAGGGATAATACACTAGAGGCCTGACAGCAGAGCTGAGCAAGTCATTTGAGGTTCCCTGGAGACCTATGCTGCTTTCCCTCAAATGGTCCAAGTTTTTTGAAATGCTGCTGTCATATGGTACCCCATATCGCATGGGTTACTTTCTTTGACTCATGCTGGAAAAGTTTCAGCGTCCTTTTTGGGCTCCTGCCAGCTCAGGTAGCTATGCGGCTTCCACTGCTCTTGCTCTTTAATAACTGTATTGTAGACTCGTACAGCAGTCCAGAATGTCTCCCTACAGTTCCTGCCCCAACCCACCTGGGTACAGCGTCTCCATGGTGTCTTTGTACTAGTGGAAGCTATAATTTCCTCACTGATTTTTTTTTTCCCCTGGCATATATTTCACCTCACCGATAACTTCAGAAAATATTTTTATATATGCCTATGTGAGAGATATAAAAAGTTGTGGGAGGTGAGAGGACAAAGACACAAGA